AAAAGCTCAAGTATTGATTGCGTCCTCAGGGAATCCAGATTCCAACACCCCTTTTCCGTGTCCCCGCATTGCACTTCATTTGCTTGTGTCTTTTTCCACACCAAACGTGACGTACCTTAAGAGGAGGGCTTGTCTCCTTTCCTGTTTGTAAATTCAGAGCCCGATACAGGGTCAAGTCCATAGTACCTACGCCGTATGTGTTGAGTGAGTAAATGTTCCAAATAATTGGGGTGGGAAGACTGAAAGCTTGCCTCAGTGTCTACAGTGGAAGCCAACCGGGGGTCTAAGGTGTCTGCGTCCTCCAAGCCTGCAGGGTCCGGTCAGTGACCCAGCCTCCTGGCCGCTTCCTCACAACTTGCCCCGCCGGCCACCTGAGCCACGCTGTCGCACAGGATGCCGTGGGAAGTCAGCCCAGACACCAAGACTGCCCTGCACACGATGCCTGCGGTGAGCTGACTCCTGCCCGCGCCCCCGGACCCTCTATCCACGCACACACCTCTGCGGTCTTGTGTGCTCCGTGCTCTCCCCTGGGGGCTCCTTTCCTCCACCCCAACATCCTTTAGGACCCAGTCTGTGCCACCGCTCCCGGAGCTTACACAGGTGTCGTGCAGAAGACTGGACGTACCGTCGATCAGTGTTGGATGGGTGGCTGGATGGGTAACAACAACAACAAAAAGAAGCAGTAACCAGAAATGGGCATCAAATCTGAGTTAAAGGCTGTGCGTTCGAGACATTCACAGCAGAGAGGTGCAGGAGAGAGGAGTAGGGTTTGTGACGGATTATTGGACTCAAGTGGGGCTCAAGTCCACAGGAAAGCGTGCAGAATTCAGAGGAGCTCCAGGAGCGGGCCGTGGGAAGTTCCCTGTGTATTTCACTGGCGTTCTTGAGAGTTGCCGAATTGCCTGCTGGGGTTACTCAGAGGAGTGTGGTCTGGAGGGGGTACATTTGCGTGCTGATGTCCTTTAGATTGGAAATCAAGGGTCGCAGACTTTTTTATTCATTTTTTGAGAGAGAGTGTGTGTGAGCGGGGCAAGGGGAGAGAGACAGGGAGGCAGAGGATCGCGCTGACAGCAGCGAGCCCGAGGCGGGACTCGAACTCACAAGGAGATCGTGACCTGAGCCGAAGTCAGGTGCTCAGCCGACAGAGCCACCCGGGCGCCCCAGATTACAGTCTTTTTAAAAAGAAACCTTCCTAGGGGCACCCGGGTGGCTCCGTCGGTTGAGAGTGTCCGACTTCGGCTCAGGTCGTGATCTTGTGGTCCGTGAGTTCGAGCCCCGCGTCGGGCTCTGTGCTGACCGCTCGGAGCCTGGAGCCTGCTTCGGATTCTGGGTCTCCCTCTCTCTCTGCCCCTCCCCTGCTCATGCTCTGTCTTTCTCTGTCTCAAAAATAAATAAAAACATTAACAAAAAAAATTAAAAAAAAAAAAAGAAACCTTCTTAAATACCCTCAATGTGGGTGTGGTCTTTGGTCTACTGCCTGGGCAAGGCCTATTTTCCTCGGTCTCCTACATCTCAACCATTTTAAGATGCCTTCCTGTGCACTTGCACCACTGGATGCAGGCAAGTGTTCTGGGGGCCGCGTGGAAACCCACCTGAGCGCTGCTGTCTATGACGGTCTGTTCCGGACTCCAGGTTCTGCTGGGCGCTCTCGGGGAACGACCTCATTAAATCCTCACCAACCCTGTCAAGCAGGTATTACCATCCCCACTTTCCAGACGTGGACACTGAGGCCCACAGGAGGAGAAGTGATTTGCCCTGGTTATAAAGTTAGTGAAATTGCAGAGCCTAGATCAAGACTGTATCTGTCTGACTCCAGACACAATCATTACATGGCAGTGAGTATTTCTGCTTTAAAACATTTTTTTTTTAATTAGAGAGAGAGAGAGAGAGAGAGAGAGTGTGAGAGAGAGAGTTGGGGAGAGGGGAAGAGGGAGAGAGAGAATCCCAAGCAGGTGCTACGCTCCGCATGGAGCCCGATGTGGGGCTCGATCCCACAACCCTGGGGTCATGACCCGAGCCAAAAATCAAGAGTCTGCGCTACTCAGGCTCCCCTCCTATTTTTTCTTTTTTAACTGGAGGTTTCACAGAGAAAAAAATTGTACTTCGTTTCATGTTCCGCGTTTCTGTTGCCTTCGTTTAACTGCGATTTCCCCGTACGAGGAGCACACTGCGTTTTGTAGACATTTGCTTCCTACCAGGTAACAGAGATCGTTAATATTTCATACTAGGCTCATTTTCTCTTTCTTTGGAAATAAAAAGCATTGGTCATTTCAAGCCTTCCCTCCCCCAACCCTTAGAGGGAATGTAAAAGTAACACGTTTGTTAAAAAAAAAAAATGGAATGAAGTTAGATAATTTATAATCAGAACGTTATAGGTAGACCAGAAACGTCCTCAGGTCCTCCTCATTTAGTAGAACAACTTTGAAAATGTTCAAGTTTGGAACAACTGCATGTACCGTTTTGCGACCTACCATGAACTAAATAATAAAAACAGATTCTTTATTTTTTTATTTTTATTTATTTTTAATTTTTTTTAACATTTATTTATTTTCGGGCCAGAGAGAGACAGAGCATGAACAGGGGAGGGTCAGAGAGAGAGGGAGACACAGAATCGGAAACAGGCTCCAGGCTCTGAGCGGTGAGCACGGAGCCCGACGCGGGGCTCCATCTCACGGACCGTGAGATTATGATCTGAGCCGAAGTCGGACGCTTAACCAACTGAGCCCCCCAGGCGCCCCATAGAAATAGATTATTTATTCTTATCTACACTATAATTCTCATTCTCTACTCCCCGAGTATGTTTTTATCATAGAAATGTTGTCGACAAACTATTTTTACAGTATTGCAAATTTTTTTTTTTTTTGCTTTACCCAACCCCCAGAATTATTTCATGAGCTACTTCACCGAGTGATAAGCAGCTGCATTTATTCATTTTTCCTTCATGCGATAAATAAAGAACCAATTCTATGTCAGGCCCTGTGGTAGACACTGAAGTCACCATGAACAGGTGAATAGGACACAGTCTTGGTCCTCAAAAAGCTCACAGAGTAGTAGGAACGTCTTCCACTTGGCTAAGAGCTGTGGGCGCGGTGGGGGGAGGGGGAGGGGGAGGGGTGTTCCAAGCAGAGTAAACCACATGCGGTACCGAGGGTTGGAACTTAAGACGCCGAGAGGCATATTGGCAGGAGACGCTGAAGCAGGGGAGTGGAGAAATCAGACTTGTGTTTAAGAATTCACCTTGGGGGTGCCTGGGTGGCTCAGTCGGCTGAGTGGCCGACTTCGGCTCAGGTCACGATGTCACGGCTCGTGAGTTCAAGCCCCGCGTCGGGCTCCGTGCTGACGGCTCAGAGCCCGGAGCCCGCTTCGGATTCCGTGTCTCCCTCTCTCTCTGCCCCTAACCCACTCGCCTTCTGTCTCGGTCTGTCTCAAAAGTAAATAAACATTAAAAACAAAAAAAAAAAAAATCACACGAGAAGTCACCTTGGCTGTGTGTGGAGGTCAAATGACAGGGAGCAAGAGTGGAGGCGGGGAGGCTGGGAGCCTGGTGTAGCATTCCGGAAGCGAGGTGACAGTGACGCGGACTTAGGATAGTGGCAGCCGAGGTAGAAAGAAGTAGATTAACGTAGGAACTGTTTCAGAAAGAGAGCTGATTGTGTTCATGCCGGTGTGGACGTGGAGTGAGCACAGTGGGAAGGAGTCGAGCCAGGTTTCTGGCTTGGGGAGCACGTATCTCGTTGTGTTGGGGGAGGGGTCAACAGTTCCCTTTGGACCCATTGGGCTGGGGGGCCTGGGCCCACCATTTGGAGATGCAGGCAGTTGGGGACAGACTCCAGGGGGACAGGTCAGGACTACAGGCATGAAGGTGGTGCTCGAACCCATGAGCTGGCAAAGCGGGGGAGATGGCCTGCCGCGAGCATGTGGGACAGGAAGAAAAGAGGTAACGGGTGGGACCTGGAGTTCTTGGAAAGGACAGGGTGACCTCATGAGGAAGTACTCTGAGGGGGTGAAGGCAGTTGGCTTGGTGAAGCTGACGCTCAGGGGAAAGAAGGTTCTGGGCCGGAGCTACGGGAGGTGTCCTTTAGGGAGCAGTAGGAGGTATGAGAGCAGGAGAAATAGACTAGAAAATGTAGTCTTTGTATCTAGAGCATTCCTTCTGGTAACAGATGTGGTCAGCAACTTGGTCGCCAGAGGCCAAGATAATGGGGAGTTTCCCAGCTCCAGGCCCTCTTGCCTAAGGTAGAACCACGTAGGCAGCTATTAAAAAGGTAAAGCAGGGGCGCCTGGGTGGCTCAGTCGGTTAAACGTCTGACCTTAGCCCAGGTCATGATCTCACGGCTTGTGAGTTCGAGCCCCGCATCAGGCTCTGTGCCGACAGCTCAGAGCCCGGAGCCTGCTTCGGATTCTGTGTCCCTCTCTCGCTCTGCCCCTCCCCTGCTCATGCTCTCTCTCTCTCTCTCTCTCTCTCTCTCAAGAATAAATAAACATTAGAAAAAAATTTAAAAATAAAAAGATAAGGCAACTGCTTCTCATCTAAGCACCCCCCCCTCACCTCCAGCCTCGCTAAACTGTGATTAATCAAGGGAAAAACAAAGTCTCTTTTTAATCCCCGGCAGCCTTTCCAGAGCAGGCTGGAGATAAAGACCCCGATCGCTTTTCCCTGAACGGGCTTCACATCATTCATCAAAGGCTATCGCAGACCTCCGGGGACTGTGCTGTCACCGAGATACTTTGTGGTGCAACCGAGTTTGAGAACCGAGTTTGCAAAAACATCACCAAGGTCGGAAAGAGACCCCCTCGGAAAGATTCCCCCCCCCCACCCCCGCCCCCAACCCGGCGGCGGCGGGCTCGAGGGGCTGGATCACAGCAGTAATGTTAAGGGCTCTTTATTATTCAAAAAATAAATAACAAGATAATCACAAGTTCACTCTGGAAACAATGGAGACTGCAGGTAGATACGCGAGATTTCCTTTAAATACAGTCATTTCGGGAGGAGGAGTGGGCAGGAGACGGGACAGGGTTGAAATAAGAGAACCGAGTAGTAACAGCCTGACTGTGTGCGGATGAGGGGGGCGGAGGAGGGAGAGAATGAGTGTGGGGCGGGGGGAGGCGGGAGGGGGGGGGCAGGGTTTTTCAGTTCTCCGCTGCAGCAGACTTTCTAGAGCCTGCCCCCTCCATCGTAGGGGCCGCAGGAACCCGGAACCAACGTCTTCAGTAATCAAAGACATCACCCACGGAAAGACACTGCACGCAAAGACACAAACCTAACCTTGACGAATTTTCTGCCGTTTACTTTGTTTCCGGCGCCGGCGTCCTGGGCTCGCCCTCCTATGGGACTCTCCGGACGGCTGCCTCGGGTGGGGGGTGGGGGGGCTTGTCGCTTCAGACTATAGACTCTGACGGACCGGGGCCTGCTTGGGCTGCTCGGCCCCGCGATTCGCGAGTCGCAGCCCTACAGGCCTGGGGGTGTATAATAAATAGTTCTCCGCGAGGAGGATCCTAGGGTTATAAATAGGCAGTTCAACAGGGGGTGGGCTTAACTGCTTTGCTGTGCTAGAAGACCACCAGCGTGAGCTCAGCCGCGGCCTGCGAGGTGCCAGTGTTCAGAGTTTGAGCAAGCCAAAAGACGTGAAGCCCGTCCCGTGGCTCACTTGGCTCGGATCAGTCACGTTCACGAACACCGAAGCACCCGGATGCAGTTCGAAGACTCCTCCCAAGTGAATGGATTGCTGCCCACAGGGTTTGGAGGAACTGCGGGCATTTGCAGCTCTGAGTAAGACTCTCTCGGATCCACTCGGGGAATGAAGGCAGAGGCTGGCTATAAACGGAGCTTGACTCGAAGCTTCCCGATTGGAACAGAAGGTGACTTGGGCGTAGATATAATAGAGTCCTTGTCTTTTAACGGCCAGCTGCTTCCCATTATCGAGGGTTACCAAGTTGCTGCTTATGGTGTAGTAGCCTTTGGGGGCCCACTGGAGAACTGCAATGGAGAGGGGAGATTCATGGTGAGACGACGCGTACGTGGTTCGCATTCTAACACAACACGGAGTCTCATGTGGGACCCTGGCTTCCTCTACGAATGAGAGCTTGGGGGGAGAGGGGCTCCTGAGGACCCTTCCGGACCTCCGTCCGCGGAGCAGCTACTGACAACTCGGCAGCGGCTTCCGACGGAGCTGGGTTCCAATCCGGGCGTCGCGCGAGCCCGCACAGGTCACTTAACCTCTCTGAGCTTTTTAGTGCCTCCTCTGTAACGCGGGGCTGGTAGCACAGCGTCTTTCAGAAACTTGTTCCGAGGATTAAGTACAGCCACCGAACGCGGGGAGTTTCCTTCTTCCTTTAGAGCTTTGGAAGCCGATTTGCCCGTGAACTTTAAGGTATGAGTGATTCCAAAATCCCACGCCATAAGTCACGCACGCTAACCCGGTCAGACAAAGCCCTTGCCAACAGGAACACTGGCATCTTGCTCTCCTGGGATTTCACAAAGTCCGAGAGCTGCCCGTTCCACGTAGCTCAGCCTTAGCCCACAAGGGGAGAGACCCCATTTCTTCCTCCCTGATCGTGCTGTCGCAAGCCCGACCTGCCTCCCACAGCAAGGACTAAAATTAGGCAAGGAAGTATGAAAATAAACCTGTCATTTCACTGTGTGTTTTGATCTTCCATTGTAGTGGGGCGTCACCAACTTGAAAGTACCTGTGTTCTTGTGGCGAAACCCGAGTACCCACCAACAGTGTGCCATTTTCTCGGCTGAGATGTTGAGTGGGTTCAAAGTAGCGTGTGCGCCCGATTTCAAATCTCAGCTCCCACAGAGAGCCAGACTGCCGGCTGTGGGGGTTGGGGAGAAGTGAAAGTATCGATCATTTGCTTCCTTGAGCTCTTTTTTTTTTTTTTTTTTTTAATTTCCTATTTGGTGGTCTATCGGGGTGTCAGATTCAACCTGTCAAGACTCATCCTTCGGTAACAGGAAAGGCGTCCTGAAATGTCTGACGTTTCTTGGCCCTCCAGACCACTCCAGAAAGGACGCTCCATTACGGGGTTCTCACTTTGGGACCGTTTGACAAAACAAGGGCGCGGGTTCTCTACCTTTTAGTCCACCAACATTATTTTCCTAAGCCCTTTTACCTAATCTTTGTCCTTGCTGTGGGATCCAGGTCAAGTTTGTGGCAGCATGAGCGGGCAGGAGTGAGGGCTTTGGGACTGGGGTGGGGTGAGGGATGTTACTGTCTTGGCATCTGATCGCCTGTGGGCCTCCTGGGATGCGGATGGGGAAATACGCTAGGACCAATATCGATCATGGGGCTTTGGGCAGAATCTAGGTACAGGTGGACAAAGACCAGTGGGAAGCTACTCTTCTAGGTGGTGGCTCTGTTGCTGTCGTGCGATCTGGATGTGCCAGTGTCAGGCGAACAGCCACCCCGGACATGCCCATCGACTTGTGATGTTTTCCCATAGGTGTATTTTCTGACAATGGCTACTTGGTGGAATTATTAAATGTTGTAGGAACAAGGGGTGGGAACGAAGGGCTTTACGCGGCTCTTCCGCCATCTAAAGTACAGAAAAGTAAGCTCAGGAACGACACCTTACATTTGTAGAGCACATGACAGTGTAGCCTTCTTCCACATTGGCTGATGTGATGCTGAGAGCCACCCCGTGAGTCAACGAGGCAGGAAACAGCGGTGAAGGCACTGGCCCGAGCTCATCTAGCAAGTGGTAGTCACGGTCCTGGAATCTCAGGGTTCAAAAACTTCCTATCCGGTGCTCTTCCTTCTATATGATGATCTCCGACAATCATTTATGGGTTACACCCACTGAGACGCCCAAGCTGCCTCGGATATGAGGTGGTGTCTCCTCTCCTCTCTCTCTGTCTTCTATTTCTATCTCTGTCTCTTTCTCATTGTGGGTGTGTGTCTCTCTCTCTCTCTCTCTCTCTCACACACACACACACACACACACACATGCTGTGTCGAACTCCGTTCTGGAGCACTGTGCCACATGTTTTCCCGAGGTGGTTTCACGCTCGTGTGCACATTTCCACCCATTTGTCAGATGCAACGCACTCTCTGGCACCGGCTATCCCAAGGCACACGTTTGGTGGGAAAAGATCTCAGAGCCAGGATGATGGCAGAACACATATGGAAATAAAATCATTCAGAGTTGCAAAGATTACGGCGTGTCGTCTGTTGTTACTTCATCGGAAAAGCTAACGTCCTGGCAACGATCGATCTTTGCAGAATGATTTTACCTTTAATTTCCCCGGGGTTGGCCCCAGCGAGCCTGGGGTTAATCATACAGGGATTGACAGATGGCGGGAAATACCTCCGGAGGCCCGTTTACGCACAGTGAAGAGGGGTTAGCATGAGGGATGCTCCCAGTCGGGAGGTCACTCACTCCCTGCCATGTCTTCTATGTTGTCAGAATAATGGTCCCTCCACCCAGCAATTCATCATTTGGAATCGGCCATTGAACAAGAACATAATGAGGACATCGGGACTGCTTCCCACCTCCTTTTGTCCCTTCAAGGCCCATCTGTCCGTCGGAGCTCACTTTGAAGACAAAGGAGGGCGGACGAGAGGTGTATGGGTGGGTTGGTAGACTGGGCCCCAGAGGAAGAGAGGAACCTGCCCAGTAGGCCGTGTGGCTTCAGCATCCCCGCCCTCCCGCCCGGGTGCCCGACTCAGATGCTTTGGACTTACCAGACGCTGTGCTACTGCTGGCCTCACTTATGACATGTGCTGCAACTCGAGGATCCTGATCGCCTGAAATTGAAACCAAGAGCCAACTGTCAGGCCAAGAGCAATGCGACACTGCCCGCAGAGCCACTGGACCTAGTTCTCAGCCACGTAAGAGAGGCCGGGCTTAAACCGGTTACGCAAAAGGAAAGGTAAAGTGGTCTGAAGTCCCTGCCACAGGGACAGGTTGGTTTCTAGAATCTGAACGCCTGAACCGGCTCTTGGCACCGAGGCTATTCCCCTCATGGCTCTTCGATACCCGACTCCTCTCTACCTACGTGGACTCCGGCTAAACTCCTGGTCTCCATGAAACATATTTGGAAGCTTTGCTTTTGGAAACAGCTCCCATCCGCTGGGGATCTCACTGGGCGCCCAGGCCGTGTCTGATGTGGTCAGGCAACAGGCCAAACTATTGTGCCTATCTCGAGTTGTTTCTCGTGTAGAAAGCTTGCTTTTTAATCAGATGTGCTGATCTCCTGAGTGCAGAGACTATGAGGAAGTTTCTTCCCCCCCCCCCCCAGTAATGGGCCTGATGTCAGACACCTTGGAGGTGCCCTATAAATATTGAATCAAATTGCATGACCTAGATAAGCAGTTTCGTCAAGTTGATCCTTTCCCTGCAGACCGCTAGACAGCATCCATGTGAACTGGTTCCTCAAATTTCATTCTGAGGACAAAAACCTTCGTGGAAATCAGATGACCCATTGCGAGTGTCCAGAAAAGGAGGTGGGCGGGAGAGGAAAGGCCCTAGAAAGCATCATAGGAGGAACAGTGGAAGACACTGGGGGTGTTTAGCCTGGAGAAGACAAGGCTCAAGGGCCATGACTGCCATTTTCAACATCTGGACAGTTGCTGCATAGGAAGAAGAATTCTGCTTTGCTCAGTACGGCCCCCAAGAGCAGAACTGGGTCCAGTGGGTGGGAGATTACAGGAACGACTTTCAACTCCAGAGGAGAAAAGATTTCTCTCGAGTGGTATAGCAATCTTATTATCATTATTAGAGCCACTTAAAAATGGACCCAGATGATTAATGAGACAGAAGGTGCCTAGGCATGTTGGATCAGAGGACAGATGGTCAGTGCCGTTGTGAAGGAGATGCGTATCGTGTGGGTGGTGCTACATTTGAGAACCCTTCCAGTCGAGACCCTTTCCGCCCCTGAGATGTTTGAGATGTTCTGACATCAAGAACAGGGCGAAGAGGGGCGCCTGGGTGGCGCAGTCGGTTGAGCGTCCGACTTCAGCCAGGTCACGATCTCGCGGTCCGGGAGTTCGAGCCCTGCGTCGGGCTCTGGGCTGATGGCTCAGAGCCTGGAGCCTGTTTCCGATTCTGTGTCTCCCTCTCTCTCTGCCCCCTGCCCGTTCATGCTCTGTCTCTCTCTGTCCCAAAAATAAATAAAACGTTGAAAAGAAAAAAAAAAAAAAAAAAAAAGAACAGGGCGAAGAGTAGAACGTCGTCACACGGTATTGTTCCTCGATCCCAGATGCTCCACTGGCCACGGTCCCCCATGAAAACCTGTTATCGCTGAGCGGTGAACGCCCCTGCTCCCAAATGATGACTTCCCCATAGAAACATATAAACAAAGCCTTCCCAAATCGCAGGCATTAGAGAAGGTGTCGATTTGGCCATCGTATTCCTGTTTTATTTCTAGGGCTAAAAGTTCCCTCATTCATCAACCGGGCTGTTCAGTGTCATCAGCCCAAAGCTTCCTTTTAGTTTTTAAGTATTCATAAAAATGAGTAGAGAGCAACCTACCTTTTTGCATTGCAACATTTTTTTCTTTCTTCGTTTCTTTGTTTAGCATTATCTCCTAAAATAAGAATCATTGCAAAAGGTCATTTTGACAGGAAATCGGGCGTGGGGGTTTTAGAGGTATCATTCATTGGGCGTCTGTCATTGCTTTATCGCCTGTTCCTGGTGAGGATTATCACACGGACTTAGATCCTGTCATTAATTCCATCATCCTGATAGGGAGCCCATGGCTCTGACAGATGAGCTGACAGCCCAGAAAGCCCAGGGGCGAACCTGGAAGCAGAATCTGGGCCTTATTAATCTCCACTGTGGTGCTCTCTCCAGACCAGAGGCTGTGGTGCTGACCCTTCCTGTGACCCCAGCCTCCCTGCCTCTGACAGGTATTGACAAATAATGCTGAATGGGGAGACGTTTCTACCCTGGGAACTAGTATATAGAATAATATTAAACACGAAGCATGGTGTGTGTCTATTGGAATAAAATTGGTCTGAAATCTCTTAGGAAATGGTAAGAGTAAGTTCGACCTTGGGAAGAAATTCCAGACGATGAAAAGACCCTCAGACATTTTTTTTTTTTTTTTTAATCCCTGTCAAGGGGATGAGGAAATTCTCTGGTTGCTGGTCGCCTTGCATGGCCTGTATTTATTTAGAGTAATCAGCAGATGGGAAACACAGATAATCTCCCAGTGATGCCCGCGTTCAAAGGCAAATGCAACACTTCTTAAGGGGTTTCTTTTCACTTGGCAACTGGGGAAAGCTGGAGGTACTCAAAGAAGTTAACAGGGACAGCCCTCAACGCAAGCTACGGCTGCCATTTTAAAGATCCTGAATACAAGGCCTGGAGGGCTTAACTGGCTGGCATGAGGTCACCCAAGGGGTCTGGGGTGGAAGCCAAGAGCAGAAACCATGAGATCACATTCAGAGGCCGACTGAGCTCACACCATCACTCTGGACTCTAAATACGAGGGAGGAACAAGGTAGTATTTTCACATCTGATCATCAAAGTCCCATTACCGGACTCCATTTTCTATAGGGCCCTTCCTTTTCCGTTCTTCCCCAGAAGGAATCCGTGGCGGTACTGTTGAGGGTCTCGTTGTAGGCTCAGCTCGGTTGCCAGATGTGAGGGTGTAAGCCACAGAGCCCTAGCGGGGCATCTGAGCCTCGAAATGCTCACAGGGGCCCGCAGGGCTTTAACTTTCCACTTGAGCTAGATTGTGGCGCTGAGAAAGTGCGGTGACAGGAAAATGTTTGTGAGACAGCAAGTAAACAAATGAGTATTTAGTGTCTTTTCAAAAATGGAGTGTGATGATCGAGGGTGAGATACTTTTAGGCTACGTGAAAACGTGAAGTCAGCAAAGTTTGTCTTTTATGTGCCCAGCCTTGCCTTTCTGTGAACTTTCCCTCAGCCGCACTCCCCAGAGCCTTTTTTCCCCCTTGCTTCACTCCCCACCTCGACTGAAAGACTTCTTAAAGTTGACTTTCAGAAAATCTGGGACTGGTTATTTCTCTCTTAGTGGGAGGTCTATGTGGCAGGGATGGACAGGCGGACCTTTACCTTGAAGAGGAAATGCTTTGACACCTCAAAGACGTCTCAGGCCTCAGTGGGCAGACGACCCTGGAACTGATCAGTCTAGCGGGGTGGGGTGGGTAGTATGTTTTAGTGTGAAATTACACTATTCAACATGCTGCCTCCACTTACCCTAGCATAAACCCTGAATCCCATCCTGTCCAAGTGACAGGTAGGTGTTCCCTGCCTCAGGAGATAATGAGTTGCCTGTTACTAGAGGTGTGCAGAGTTTGGTGACCTCTGGGTAGGGACTACTGGGGAGAAAACTGAAGTCCTGGGTTGATAATTGCATCTGGTGATTTCTTTCTTTCTTTCTTTTTTTTTTTTTTTTAAAGTAGGTTTTATGCTCAGCGTGGAGCCCAGTGCAAAGCTTGAACTCACGACCCTGAGATCAAGACCTGAGCTGAAGTCAAGAGACAGACACCGACTGAGCCACCCAGGCACCCTTAGATCCGGTGATTTCTAGGACCCCTTCAAGTCCTATGATTTGGAGCCCCCAAAATCAAACCTTAGGTTGCCCCGGACCAGTCAGACCGTGAACCCCAGAAAGCAAGCCTGTTAACGCTCACTAAGAATATTAAAATCCAGTTTGGGGTTACTATGCGGTTGGCCTGTCGGATTTTTTTTAAGATTCCAAAATATTGTTTAGAATGAGAAATTTGGGAGAACGGATATTGGAAAGGGGGTCGGTCTTGGAAAAGGACTCGTTGTCTAACCGCTGCGCGTATCATAGGTACCCAAGGCGCTGCCTTGGATCCCGCCCCTGTAGCAGGAGAGGCAAGGGGCTTCCTCTGTTACACGCAAGGAGCCCTGGGTGGCATGTTGAGAAGGTCTGCCTTTCTAGCATGTGAGACTTTGGAGCTGTCACTATTTTTAGGCAAGCAGCTCCTTGCTCCTATCCTGGGAGGCTGCCTTGGGAAGTTTTACACATCTGACCTAAAATAGAGCCGTTAGCAATGGGCAGTGGAACTGTAAAACTCTCAGTAAGAAAGAGGGAGGAGAAAACCCAACAGCCACTCGCACTGCCTTGGAGGGAACGCAAGGCTGATCGTATAATTACAGCACGGCAGAGCAGATAATCTCAGCCCTCTCACTTACAGACGAGAAAACAGGCCCAGGGAGGTGAAGTCACTTGCCCAAGGTCACACGGCCGAGCGCATTAAGTAGGCCAGTTGGATGACTGACTGTTGTTCTGAAAGTGGCTTTAATTTTGCAGTTTTGGTTCTGGCGAGAATCCTTGAAGAACCAGAGAAACTCAAGTCATGAGAAACTCAAGTCATTTCCAAGCCTGGCAGAGAAAGAGGAGCCTCCATCTAAACCCTAGGTTGGCGTAAAGAACGCAAAAGCCAGCAGCAGATTTGGGCTGCGTTCTGATTCCTGTAGGTGACACCTTCATAGGCTTCGGAGTCTTCGCTATTGGATTAAATTCCACCTCAGGGACAGTGCAGGAGGACAGGCGTAAGCTCAGGTTGCATCGTAAGCCCTTTACTCCCGGGTTGAATTGCAGAGCATGTATGTATGTATGTATGTATTTATTTATTTATTTATGGTTATTTATTTTGAGACACAGAGGGTGAGTGCGAGCAGGGGAGGAGCAGAGAGAGAGAGAGAGAGAGAGAGAGAGAGAGAACCCCAAGCAGGCTCCACGCTGTCAGCACAGAGCCCGATGCGGGGCTCGAACTCACGAACCGTGAGATCGTGACCTGAGCTGAAATCAAGAGTCGGATGCTTCCCCCACTGAGCCACCCAGGAGTCCCTAAACTATACATCATTTATACGTGAGAACCAACTCCTGTTGGCTTATCTAGATACCGCGCCCCCCCCCCCGATTGGCACAAAACTGCCTTCAATGTGGGGAGCTGCTTCCTATTCACGGCCCCAAAGCTTCTAGGCTCCTTGTCCGTGATGATGGAGTCCATGTTGTAAATGACATTCTAAAACTTCTTGTTTGGGGTACCCTTTAGAGGCCCCAGTGACTACAGTGATTTCCTGCTGGGTCCTCTGTCTGTCTCAGGTGTTGCCCGGCCCTAGGGTGGACTGGCTTCACCAGCAAGTGGTGTTATGTAGGGTCTGGTGTGAGCGGCACCGAGAAGGTCCGTCCCCCTTTCCCCACACCTCTCCCCACGAGCAAAGGAAAAGACCTCCCTTTGGTGGCGCCTGAAATTCTGTCACCGGAGAAACATTCCTTCCAGTGTGAGAGCATCAGCCTCGCGAAGTCCCTGGTACCCACCGTAGCCACCTAGCGTGGTGAAGGCAGGACCGTAACGTGGCCACAGGTCCCCAGTGAGAAGGCATCGAGGTTTGGATGGAAAGACAAGAAAATACCGGAGGACAAAGTCGGTGTCCTTCGTCACGTTCACAGAGGCGGCTGCATGTGTGAGCCC